TAATGTTTGGTTTAAACATAAAAATCAGTAAATATTCACTGATCATCGGTAGAATATTGTTTTATTGATTCAATTCGTGACATTTTCACCGATTCGACTTAAGAGAGTGCGGAAAGCGACTCCGACGGCTTTTGTCGGCGGCGAAACAATCGCGAGACAAACGGCAGACAGAAATTTCGCTAGTGTAGAAGGTCACACCCGGGTGAGACCTTCCAACTTTTTTCCTCCGCTCGCTTGTCCCGACGCGGCCGATCTCGATCTCCGAGTGATCGTGCTCGAGTGATCGTTATTATTCGACAAGGCCGTTGGACAACGGCAATCCCCTGTTCGCACGTACGCGCCAGAAGCATGTTCGCGACTCGCAGTCAATGGCCCTCCGTATTTAGCCTTCGACTCGTACACAGTCGTTGCAGCGGATGTAGTACGCGCCGCGTTGAATGGCAATCGACTCCGTGAGACTTAATACATTCCATATACAAAGCATGATAAGCCAAGAGTCGTCAATACGTTTCCGTTACTGAATGAAATGGACGCTTCTTTTTCGAAGGAGTGCGCGGCATGTGTCTGGGAATTCATAAATCAAGACTGTCGGCGAAGAGAGAAAGAAGACAGCGCGAGAGAGCTGCTTCCATAAATCAAATCTGTGAAAATGTCACTAATTGAGTCAATAAGACTATTTTATTCTACCGATAATCAACGAGTATTCACTCATTTTTAGTAGAAACACTTCCGCTTAACTCTTTCTCGTTCAATACCTCGCAGATTTTGTCCGGTGAAAGAGCAATTGCGAATCAAATAAATATCAAATCAAGCCAATAAAAGCCGTCGCGGTTGTCAGTGCGAAAATTATGGTTTTTATATAAGAGGATAAATATGTATGGCAGTGTCAAGCAAACGTATCGACTGTTCCGCTAGATTAATACGCGAGGAAAATCTTTCCTTCTACGCCCTTATTCGCTGTCGGATAATGCAATTGCACGTCTTTGAATATTATATCACGAACTTTCAGCGGCGTCTTTCGTTCCGTTGGATGCGCGGCGCGATATTTTGACGTTACGTTCACGGCGACGAGCGCAACCGCATTGAACCTCGCGTTATGTCACCCCCATTCGCGGTGTAATAGCCCGGCAAAAAAGACATTGTTCTCCTGCGTTTCGCGTGCTTGTCTACCCGAGGGGCGCGAGCACGGGTGCTCTCCTTGCGGGAGAGAAAGTCTCGTAGATACGACGCGTACACACACACCCGCGACCGGTCGTTTACACGCCTACAGAAAATCTCCGCGAGCTCCGCGTCTTCCTGCGCAAAAACCGATGATTTCGGACCTCCCCCTTTCCGCTCTCTCCCTCTCTCTCACCTCATGCAGAGATATGATTATTACTTTGTTAGTTGTATGCGTGAAAAAGCTACAGTCGATTTCGACGACGGGACGTGACAGCGAAAAGCGAGACTTGGGAGCGTTTCGCGTTCACGACGACGGCGACGACGACACGCGAGAGATCTGAACGACCCCCACTGTAAAAGATTCTAACGTAAGCCGATGTCGACGCTCCACGTGTGCAAAGTGAACGCTGCCGTTTTCAGCCTTGATCCAAAGTTCAAATTGTCACGGATAAGGTTGCGCCTAGCCTGCGTCCACTCTGCCTGACATCGAGCTCACTCGCTTTCACGTTTCTCGTAATTATCCCTGCGATGCCTCCGCCGTTAAGATCGGCTGTCAATTCGGCTGAACGAGTCGTTGTTCGAGCGTACGCTTCGGATCGGACGTAATTACGCAAACGGAGGAGAAACCGACCCGGTGACCCTAAGTGAAGTCGGAAAAGCGAAGAATTCGCGGATCTGTATGCGCATCCAAAGTCACGCCTCGTTGCGATACCTAGTAAAATCTCTATTTCTATTCCACGCTTCGCTACCGGCGAACGACAGAACGATGAGCTCGTTCGCGCGTTTCGGAAACTTCAACGCGCGGGACCGCGTGTCTCCCTTCGAGCCATTAACCGTCGTCCTACGACTTCGCCTGGATAAAAGAAAGACAAACTGTGTCAATACGATCGTTCGATATTCCCAGCACTCACTCGCGGATTATCGTGGCCTGGCCTGGTCCTAATGGATCGGCATTCTTCTTGCGCAACGCAAAGACCTTTAACGCCGCAGCTGCCTTCTGGTTCTCGTCGAGACGCTCCGGGCTGGATAGTTTATACGGTTGTCGGTTTCACTGGGCCTTGACACCTACGCCGACGCTCGACGTGTTCGCCATCTTCGTCGGTTCTCTCTAACGATTAACACGAACCGTTTGTGCGATTTTAATTCGTTAATAGCGACATTTTTGCCCGTTATGTCTCTCGAACGGTATCACCTGCGGTTCCGCTGCGCATATTAAAACGATTGCCTTAAGGTAGTTGATCCGTCGAACCATTTTCTTCGGAATTCTTTTAAATTTTAGCTATATATTGCTGATAATATCTATTATATATACGTCTGTAAAATTAGAGAACGATTGACCGTTTGGTAACTGAGATATTCGAAACTAAAAGTGACATTTTTTATGCATATTCCTTGAAGTTAATAACCTACTTTTAACTTTTATTTTTAATTTCTTATAAACCACATTTAGGATTATAATGGAAAACTACTGTGGTATTAAGGAATAATATAGAAATGTTATACAAAAATTTTAGAATTATTGAATATTTTATTTTGAAAATATAGCTATAGGAAATTTATGCAATTTATAGTAATATTCTTGATATCTATCTCTCTCTCTCTCTCTCTCTCTTTTCTCGATTGGTTACCATCCGTTAATTTGCGGATTTACGTATGATTGTAACAGCTTACAGCTCGGGCGAAAATAGAAACCCGAAGAGATATCTCCTCGTCGAGTGTAGGAGGAAGTGAAGATGCTGCAGGCCTTATGCAACGTCCTCAATAAAGATTATCGATCCTTTCGAGCACGTTTCGCGCTCAGTATCCATGGCGGAATAGCGGAATCGCGCTTCGCTAGTTGTCGCAGCTAGGAAAAGCTTGTCGAAGAGCGATTCCACGTTTTACGCTCCCGTGCTCCCTTCCTCATTTTGTCACCATTCGACCGAGGTATCGTTCCGACGCGACCAGCTCCGCATTCCAAATATGAGATCCGCCTTTTCGGTGTACTTTGCGTGATTCAGGCGAAACTGCATATTGTGAAAGCACCCGCGCTAATCGAGACGCACCTCGAAATCTTCGTGAAATCCCGTCATGCGTGGATGGTCGGTCCTTGAAAAGTTTAAAATGAAACCTAAAAGGAAAGAAGCGGGAAGGTGAGGTGAAGTTATGTCATCGGGGTAAACTTTTCGTTGTGGCGAGGAAAGATTTGGAATTATCTAGTGGCGGATCCTGGATAGCAATCGATATCGATTGGCATAAAAGTGGCACCAAAACACGATTTCGATTACTTTCCTAAATAAATAATTTTCTAAAATAAACCACACATTTAAATGATATAATCATGTTTTACTAAAAAGTCAAATATCTATACCTATATTATATATATCTATACCTATAGATTACTGGGTCATCCAAAAGTTCGATTCAATAATTCTTTAATGATATTCAGCCATTCGAAGAATGACATTCAACTTTCTAAGATAGAAACACACGAATACTGCAAGAACATTGGCCAAAGATTATAAAGAACCATAGTGATTGATGAATAATTTCTTCCCATTAAATGCAACGAAGTTAAATTTGACTCAGAATTCGAAATTAGACATTTTTATAGTTATTGTTAATAATTCTGGACACACACATTACACTTACACTTTTAATAATTTAACATATAATAATTCTGGACATTTGTTGGATCACTTGGATTAACGTTGTAATTTTTGAAGGGATTCAACGTTTAGAATGATAAGTCACATAGAACTGAAATTCGGAATAATTCCTATAAATTTTCCTAGAGACACGAGCGAATTTGCCTCACGCCAACTGTCAAACTTTCATTCGTCGGGAACGATCGTGGAGAGCGCTTCGTGCATCTTTGGATCATGCGTTTAAGTTCATCGAGAGGAGGAGAGAGTCGGGCTGCTTGATATACTTCGCGAAAACGGTGCTTCGCGAAGTTAGGTCAAACAACGAGGAGAGGAGTTAGGCACTCTCGGAGCTAAGTCGCCGGGCGAACGTTCAGCCAGTCAGTCAGCCAGCCAGGATCTCTCGGGTCCCCGTTGGCCCTCGGTGTGTAGATCGAGTGTACCGAGTCGAGTCGAGTCGACTACGTGGTGTCCAGTTTTCATAGGCTGGTGGGGTGCTCTCCAGGTGGCCGTGGTGGGTGGCGGTATAAGTAGAGGCCTGCATTCGCCACCGTTCTCATACCCTCACCACGTCCTTCGGCTACCTCTTACTTTTACTCAGTGCCCCTTTTTCCACTTTTTTCTCTCTCTCTCTCTCTCTCCCTCTCTCTCTTTCCCTCTTTCTCTCTATCTCTCTTTCCGTTTCTCTCGTGCACACTCTCACTGGATCTTTCTTTCTCTCCGCCTCGGCGCGTTCGTTCGCCTCGCCATCCGTTCGCCCGCTCGCTCGCTCGCTCGCTCGCTCGTCCGTTTCATCGTTTGTTCTGACCGTTTCGCACCTTGTCGGCGAAGTCGCGTCACGAAGGTGGCTGACCAGAGGTCACGTCGACCGAGGCGCACGCCACGTACACCGGAGAGCCGACCCGCCTGGTGAACTCGTCAACGGCCGGACACCTCTACGACCAGCCGGAGGACGAGTGTCGGTCGCAATCGCCAGAGAAGAGAGCAGAGATGGTCGCGAGTGTCCGGTGACGATACGTACATATATATATACATATATATATATACATATATAATATAAAAAGTCGGTAGAGTATAATCGCGCGCAGAGAGATCATATACGTCGACATTGTCGAGAGTGCCGAGAAGAATTTCGTTTACCTGGACCAACCAGCTGTTCGCATTCCACGGCGAAAGCAGCACGAGAAGAGGCGAACAGGACGACGGAAAGGACTGTGTGCAGTGCAGACATGTGGCTGAAAAGCGTGCTACTGTGAGTACCCGACAATAATCCTTCGTACCTCGGACGCTCGTCTGCCAGTGAGAGAGAAATCTCAGTGACGGGCGCATGTGGACATTAAATGCTCGTGAAATTAAATCTTGTCTATGTCGTAAATGTTCATTAAAAGTCCCCACGATTATTCGAGAATCCAGAGAGAGAGAGAGAGAGAGAGGGAGAGAGGAAGAAATTATCTGGGATCGCTGATTTTGACGAACGATTAGACGTTCGGATCTGACACGGCTTGTTCGTTCGCATTGCGATTCGCATCGAAGCTCCTTTCTACATTCGCTAGAAATGTTAATTGAGTTAGTCAATACTTCACCGCGCATATCTCCGATGCGATCTACGAGCTACGCATCGCGCTCCTCCGCAACAGTTCCTGTTTACTTCCTACATAGATTACTGTTCAACGTTTTAATTTTACACTCGTTCTCTTCTCGTTGTGCTTTGATTTTGCATCATAATTTCGCTACGATATTTTTTTTTTTTTACGATATGAAAGTAAACCCGTTCGCTCGAAACTAATCGGGCCGGTGAATAGCCGTTTTCGACTTCGTTATATTTTGCTTTAACTTTCTATTTCTTTGTCTGTTTTTTTATAATTTTATTTTATGTTTTATACCAAACTGAGGATCGAACAGCCACGTTTAATATTGAGTATGAAATCTGTGTTTGAGTCCTGAACACTTCCCGTTTTAAGTAACCGTTAAACATTCATGTTCATGTAATACCTTCAATTGCTATCGAGATCGTAACAAAGTAGGTCATTACAGCATGCGTTCTTATGATGTTCCGTAAGCAGAACGCACATTGCAGCTAGTTCCGCCTCGGGAAACGTACAAAGAAGCAAAAAAATGATATGTCGTGTAATTTCCGTTACCTTCTCGGCCCCGTTTTTTACGATATAATGGTCATTCTAATTTTGCAGAATGCGATCATAATATATCGGGTAGATTGGCCTCGATATTTTTTTAATTGCGCTTAATCTCCCCCATGTCGGGTGCGCGGCGATATTAAGGCGAATAGTGAAAACGATCTTCTCCGAGTCAATTATTATAAGATCATCTCGTTAACGATTATAAATGACTTTCGGCTATCCAAAAGAAAGCATATTTTCATGGTCAAGAGACATTACGCTCCTGAATTACGTAGCGAAAGGCGCGCGCAATCGGCAACTCATTCTTTTAGATACGCCGATTATTCGCGGTTTCATTGAGGAAGATATGTACTTATGATTTATTCGAGAGAAACCTGCACAAACACTGTCCTCGATTTTAAAATGTCGATCGAGAATAGAAATCAGTATAACCTGGCTCTAAACTTACGATAATTTGATCACCGTGCGCATTGTTATGTACACGCAGCGAATATTTCCCCAGGAAATATATTAAAAACATTACATGAAATCAATAATAATAATTGAAGTATAATAAGTACAAATATATCTTCGAAATAGAGACTTTGAAACAAGGATATCGCAAAGTAAAATAAGCACTTGACGGACGGACGATAAACGATGTGCGCTACGGATGCTCGTTACTTTCGAGTTTGGCGAGAGCGTCGCAAATACACGAATTTGCGGCGCTTCTCTCGATTAAGCGCATCATTAGTCATTAGTTTTGATTTCACGGTGGCGTCTGTGATAACCCTGCAAAGGAAAGCTACATATTTATGTACAATGCACGGTAATGAAAAGACGTATTCTCGATAATATATATGTTTTGCTGAACAATTGCATGCATAGAATAAGTAAAATGTCACGTATTTTTACATAGTGAATACGTTATTATACATAATACAAAACATCAGGCGAAACGACTAGATTCGATAGAAAGTTTAACGGACTATATATCAACGAGTCTTTGAACACTTCGTTATTTGCGTTGCGATTTTACGATAACAAAGATGTCACAATAACGATGCGTTCACCCAAGAAAACCTGCACTGAGAGAAATTATGCCAAATATTTTTCTCTCAGTGTGACTTCACACCTGCTCACATGTATATGGTGCTAAAAAACATTAGATTCTCGAGTGATGAAATAAAATTATTGCTCACATTCTCGTGCAATAAATCTACTTGTAATAAATAAGAACGCGGGAGCAACTGACGGGATATTTTGATATTGTTGAACCTTTACGTTTTTCTTTTCAGCGAACTTAGTGTGAATTCAGTTCGCAAACAATCGTGTTTTGCACAGACGGCATAAAAAAATATTTACGACTTGGTAATAGGCTTTTGCAGGATACGATGTGTTGTGACTTACGTAATGCCAGTGTCTCGTGCCACTGGAGATACCTACGTATGCTTATGCAGATACGCCTGTAAGCGAGAACCGCTTTCTCCATATGGTTTCACGATAAATTCCGGCATTAAGCGTACGTTTGCCGTCTAAGATTGAGTTACGGGATGCGCTGTTACACCTCTCGCTCTCGAAATTTAATGACCGCGGTTCACACCTTCCTCCGCCGCCAGTCGTGAAATTCTCACCGGTGTCGCGAGGAAAGTATGGCGACTCGAAAATTCGGAAAGATTTCGACTCAGCGCAAACACGAGGAACCGCAACGAATATTTTTTTACTATGCGAGATGATTTTAGAGATAAAGTAAAGTGAAACGAGGGTAATGTGAAAAATTTGAAGAATTATACGTACAAAGTTGTCTTTCTCGCGCGGAAAAAAGTTTCGTTGAATTTATCAGACAGTGAACGGACCAAAACAGCATTTTGGCCGAAGAAAACAAAATTTCTGGTTGTAAGATCCAAATTTGGATTATAAGAACCAGAAATTCTGTTTTCTTTTATCAAAACGCGTATTGGTCTATTCACCGTCCGGTAAATTCAATCAAACTTCTTTTCCCATGCGATATCCTCGTTGAGAAAAAGTCGATTTCGCTCAAAGAAAATTCACAGGTGAAAGGTAGCTTGTTAGTCTGTACGTATTAATATGTACATTTGCGTTTCTAATCTCACAGAAGGCTGAAATTTCGAACAGCTGCGCCGATGGACTTTAACCGAGTAAACACCAACGAACATCACAAGCGGTGAAAAGTACCGTAAACGAGCTTAAACGCCGGTCAAGTACGGGCATTCGCCATTCCTATATTTGACTCGATCGCGACTGTGTGGGGGAGGAGGGAACGAACGTGTCTTATAATTCGTTCTACTTTATTTGCAAATGTATTCCGGTTGTAGTAGTAAGTTATTCCTGTACCGGAAGACCGCTCGAACGGAACGGTCTGTCGGCTGCGCATTCAGCGGCGGTTTCCCGTAAATGTCGCGTTCCCCTTTCATCGATTAGTAGCAAATTAACGTCGGAATATTGAGCTCTATCCGGAGCGTAAAACCGAAGCGTCCGGCACGATCGAAAGACGAGAATTACCGTGAAAAAAAGGAAAAAGGTAGGAATCAGGCGCGATGAAAAAAAAAGATACGATGCGTCGACCGGCGCGAAACTTTCGTGCGATTTTCGAAAGAACCTCGACAACTACCGACAACCTGACCTGCGCTTTTCTAACGTAAGAAAAGACAATGTAGCGAAGCGAATTAAAGAAAACGCTGATGGCGTAAAGCCACGCTAAAAACAGAATCGGTAAGACTCGCGCTCTAACAGTGACGCGTCGAAAATACACGTTTGACATTTCGTCAGAGAGACACCGCTTACACGAAATACCAGTCCCACGATCACGCAACGCCCTTGCATTTTGCCGAGAAAAAAGAAGCCCTGGAGCCCCCGTTCGTATCCATTTCAGAAGCGGCTCTCCTTCGTCCACGGGGTAAATTGGTCGTAACCGATCGTCCTTGCGTACGCAACGTCGCGTACTCGGGATTATCGTTGCCTCTCGCAATTCTTTTTCCGACAGAAGAAACTGGTTGAAATATATATTATACTAAAAAGTAGGAGCATTTTAAAAGTGCGTAACGATGTTATATGTCGCGATGGTTGGACTGTTAACGCGGCAAAAGTTCGTCAACTCCAAAGGTATGCAAGTCCTCTGCAAAAATTACCAATTTCGACAACCTTGAGAAAAATGGGAACGAGGTCGCGCTGGCCATTCGAAGGCTCGTTGATAAACGAGGCCTTGACATTTTTTTCCAAATTTAATTATATCCGATGAATTTCCATTGAATGTAGAAAACCGTTTCTTCCCGCTCTTGCGAATTATTGTGCGTCAAATTATCTTTCGTTTCGCGTCTAAGTGAATAAATCGAAAATTTTTATTTTCCCTTTGGATTTGTTACAAATAATAACTGAGCAACTCTATATTTTTTATACATTAAAATGTCTTGGATTCACGTTTTCCCGAATCTTCCTCGTGGCTGACATGTGGGTTTTATGTCGTTGCGGGTGAACTTTAATTTTCGCACGATAGGTGTGAAGAATTGAATGCGGTTCAGTCGGGAGAATCAGGCGAATCAGATGCAGCCTGCTCGACTCGACGACCAGATGTGAACTTTCACCACGTCAAGACTTGCATTAGCTGTACACGCGTTCTGTCGTCGTTTACACTTCGCCTCCTTGCATCTCCCAGACGCCTTTATCACTTTCGCTGATGCGTCGTTATGTCGCGCGATGACTCGATAACTCTCCCTCTCTCTCTCCCCCCTCTCTCTCTTTCTATCGCACTTTTTTTGCGTGTATTTGCACATTATATACACTGGTCATTTACATTCCCAAGCAACACGAAAGTGTAGCCTTAATTATTTTAAGGAAGGTACGCGTAGAGCTTTAATGAATACACGCTACACTCTATAACACTCTAAGATAATAGAATAATTAACTAATTATACTCGTAAGCATTTTTGCTTCTAGTGAAATTTCACAGTTACGTTTCATTTCATATAGAAGTTAAAATTTATACAACAAATAAGTTAAAGTTATCATCTTAAGAAGAAAGAAATGACACTTTGTCAAACATGTTTTTCGTTCGTCATAAATTATATTATTGTACAGTGTTACGATAGATAACTTTCTTTTTTACATTATATTTTACAGAATATGTGGTGTCATAGCGTGTGCGCTGACTGACAGCTCGACGGATATCAAACAGATATCCGGTGACAATTTGGCTCGAGCGAAGAATGTAGCGGCCACAACTTACCAACCACCTCGAGCCATCTCGATCGAAGGTAAACGTTGTATATTATAATATAAAAAAAATATATAAAACCCGTGAAGTAGTCCATTATTTCGGTTAGCGCGAGATAAATTAATTTAACGTTAAAGAATTCTCATAGGAGCGCTTGAATTTTTATAAATCTTAAGAATTTCCGGCAATCGACTGAGAATCCTTGAATTTTAAAGAGTTTCTGAAGTTCTTATCAGTCGAAGGTGAGCCGTGACTTTCAATGAATTTTTGGAGTTCATGACAATCGAGAGCGAGAGACCTTGAATTTTAAGAGGTTTGTCAAATTTTGCTCAATCAAATGAGAAAGGTACCATGAATTTGCATGAATTTCTAGAATTCGTGTCGTCACACAAACTGCCAGAAAATGTAGCGAGACCATCGGAGGACGATGATTACGAGGACGACGATTACATCGAAGAGAAGAAAGTCGCGCTTAAGGACAACAAGCACTCGAAGAAAGTCATCCCAAAGTTCGAGAACGTCGACAAGAAGCCGGCCGTCCTCGAGCCCGTCAGACGTTTAGACTCGTCCGAGGAGGACGACTTGGAGAGTCTCGCCGCTAAAAGACAAGCACGAGTGGAGCTCGAAAATTTCAGCGACACCGGGAAGGTCTTGCAAGAGGAAAGAATGAGAAGAGTTGATTCTAGGAGACCGCGCCTAAGCGAACAGGACGAGGTTATTCCGGGAGTTTACGTCAGGTGAGATGTTCGCCTAGTTTGTCCAATCGCGGAAATATTCCTAAATGAGGGGGACACAGATTGAAGCATTTCTCAACGATCCATCGATATACGATTAGCTGACATTCCGGTCGGGATAATATTGACTTTAATCGTTAATTTAGTGAAAATATAATGCGTTAATTATCTGAATTTTGTCGAGAGATAACATCTTTCTTTCCATAAGTCGCAAATGTATATATCTTTAATTAACATGAAAATTTTGCAAGTCTTTTACTCGAGTAAAAATACTCATCGTCGTTTGGGTGTCTTCAGCGCCGAGTATCCAACAACGATGCTGCCGGTTCTGACAACTCCGCGCGAAGCACGTGGCAATTCCTACGATTTCGTCCCCGTAAATATTATTCGCGAAGATAATAAGGATGGTTTCGCGCGTTTCTCTGACGCAAACTTTGGCGACTTGAGTGATGTCAGCTTGGTGCCAGCTGGTACAAATTCTCGTATTCAGGTATGTTATGAATATTGCGAGTTATTATTACATATATTGTTATTGTGAAGTTTTATTATCTGTATCATTTATATATATGGATACATTATTTCAAATATAATTATTGACGGAGCTATTTATATTGTATTAAATATAACTCTATAATTCTTGATTCTGTTACATCTGCAATAGGTGAAGAAGGGGCCGAACGGCAAGGACTACGAATACGAGTATGTTTATTATTACTACGACGAGGAGGATGAGAGTAAAGCGGGTACAGCTGGTTCAGCTGTGACGAATTCTTACGACCTTCCTTCCAGAACAACCTCCGCACCCAGGAGAAGCGGTACCGCTGGCAACAGGAGTAAGTACAACGCTGTGGAGAGGTCAAGCACCGTCGAGCCTAGCAACAACGAAGTCATACCGAACAGAAATGGTAACAGGGGTAGGCAACTCGTCGAGACCGAAGACCTCTCCGAGGAGAGACTGCCAGCGAATACTCGCTTCCCACCTAGGTGAGTCTTGATCGCTCACGAAGTGATCGGACGGTTTGCGAGTTTCAGTTAGCCAATAGCCATGTTGCTTGTTGAACAGATCGCGATCGAATCACAACACAGGCACAACGGAACCCTCGCGGGCGCGCGGCAACCGACCACGGCCGAGTCTAGACCTGGTTGATTCGAGCAGCTTCCGGACTCACGAGGGTCCCGAGTTCCCGCAAACCTTGCCGAAAGGGCCGGTCAGGTTTCTCGGAGTTACCCCTAACGAGGATAACGAGGAAAAACCGCTGATCAGAAGCCGCGGTAGACCACAGAGGGTTCAAGAACCAGCTCCCGTTGAAGAAACGGTGGACGACACGCCGACGCCTACTACTATTAGTAGAAGACGACCGACCTCCACCGTAGCGCCCGAGGTATAATTAACTGAACTGTGTTGAAATACGTAGTAAAAATGCACGTGCATTTATGTAAACTGCAAAATTATTAAAATTATTTAAAACATATCTCGGAATAAAGTCAAATTTCGAAAAGTGCGTTGAAACGGTAACATGAATTTGAGTTCAAGAGTGTCCTGTTGTTAATATCTAATTAATTTTAATAAACGGCAAAAATGCATATTATGATTGGGAACTGTTAAAATAATTTCAAGTGTAACTCGAAAAAAAAAATTAAATGTCGAAAGAAATATGTTGAAGCGGTATAACTGGATTTCCAGACTGAAGTGGAACTGAGCAGAGGTCAACCGGTGCGCTCCAACGAGGAGGACGACGAAGAGGAGACCGTCGCGCCGGAGAAGTCCGGCATCAAGCGAATATCGTTAGAAGACAAGGCGCAGGATTCCAGCGAAACGGAGTCCTCGCCGATCTCCTCTAGCACCGGCGCCGACACCACGGACGATCCAACGACGGAATACCCGTCGGCGATGGACAAGGTCGCCCTGGACCTCTACGCATTCTTGCAGCAGGGTCAAAGTAACCTGATAGATCCGTCCAGCAGCGAAGTTGGTGAGACAGGAGACAATACGACGCTTCCCGACGAGGAGATCACGACCGACGACGCGGCAGTGACGACGACGGAACCCGCTGCGACTACGATCGCCGCGGAATCCACGAGCACCACGACGACGACCACCACCACCACCACCACTACCACGACCGAGCCGACGACCACAACTACCACGACGACCACGGAGCCACCAACTACCACGACTCAAGCTCCCGCTGGAAGAGGGAAATTCCGACGACCTGGAATAGGCGGCCCGGCTGTCTCCAGGAATCGGTAAGTTCCTGTGAATTTAACCGTTGCCCCAAAAATCGGACCTCCTTGCTCCTAAATGATCCTCATACGGATCGTTTCATTCGCTGCAAAGCATTCGAAGGTAGATCAACTTAAGACGATCTTAAATATAAGATCCGACTGTGAATGCCGGGTCAAAATTAGTCGCCATTCGTTGCTCTTAGTTTCAAGTCCAACGGTGCCAGCACGACCACCGAGGCGGCCGCCTCGGAACCGACTCCGAGAACCCGGACGCGTTTCTCCGGTAACGGCTCCAACGGCGGCGGTGGTTTCAAACGACCGCGGCCGGCCGGCGGCCACAAACCCGTCGAGGAAGACACCGTGCAGAAGGAGACGTCCAACACGGCGAACGCGGAGAAAGCGTCCGCCGGTCGCGGCAGGTTCCGCGCGCCCGTCGGAGGCAGGACCGCCGTCTCAACGACGACGTCGCCGCCGTCAAACGGCGCCTCAGCGACGTCAGCCCGGCCGACCTTCAACAAGCTAAACATCAACCGCAGACGCGGACGACCCACAACAGCCACGCCGGCGGGCGAGGAGAACCAGGAAGCGACACACTCCGAAAGCAGCCAGACCGTCGCCCAGACTGCGCCGGAAACCGCGACGAGCGTCGCCCCGAAGCCCGCCGTAAGAGCGAGACTCCCTGGTGCCGGGCCTGCCATCAGACCTGCGATCAGACCGGGCGCCAGGGTCAACCTGAGGCAGAAACCGGGGCAGACCACGACGACCACGACGACGCTCGCGCCTGAAGCCGCCGACGCGTCCGTCGAGGAGCCGGCCGGGGAGGGCACCGAGGAGGAAACCCACGAGGTTGGTGTAGCTACGTTTAAAATGTTACAGTATTTAATTTAACATTCAGACTGCCCCGATTTTTTGTTCAATTTCTTTAGTTAAGAAAGTGTTAATCTCTCATCTGACATAAAAATTGACATAAAAAAGCATCTTTTAACGTAGCATATAAAGATATTCTCGATAAAGGAGAAACACGAGCGAAGTAAGTGTGCGCATTTGAATTACGTGAACTGTAATTATCTATGATATTAATTACCATAATAACTAGGCATATAGATATCTATCAATTTTATTTTACAATACTTTCTGCTAATCGCACATGTTACGAAACACCGATGTGTATCGTAACACGTTACTCTACGCAATATTTATCCGCCGGAACACAAGAGAACTTTCTATTATGCTAACGAACATTCAAAATGCCGACGATCTAATTTATCCGACCGCCCAACAATTTTAGCTTTCCCCTGGAAATGGCGCGCAAATGGCGCGCCGTGGAATTCAATTGTCCCAAGTTGAATCTATTATCATTGTTCGTCGCGTACATTCCGATCAAGCCGATGTTCAAAAGTTTAATAGCGAGATAATAAAAATCTGCGTGTCAACCGTGATTAATCTCGCTACGTCTGAGTCGCGCATTACATATTCAAATGATCTATTATGTAAATTGCTATACCGATTGTTTATTGCGTAATGTGCGCACAATAAAGATTCAATTCTCCTCCGACGCATTTCGTTGAAGCTCCGGAAACTACAAGACGTGAAGTATGATCAAATTCTTCCGCGTGTCATCGTAGTTTCCTTCATTTCATCTTTATTCTTCTCATTCTGCCCTCATTCATGAAAGTCGTCATTCACCAAATATACCTGTTATTAAATGCGATACCTGAGAAATCGTATGAATATCACTTGACGTGCGATTTCACGTGCCAATGATACGATCGATTCTAAAATTCCGCCTCGAATATGTGCGCGCATACGTATCTTCGGCTGCAGACTTCGCGAGATTAGGTACGAGGACGCGCTGCAGTGATGTCACTCGATAAAGTTCTCTCCCGGGTTTTACTTTCACTGGATGGCCTTTCAAAATGTCATCGATGAGCCGGCGGGAGACGGTGCGCGACCGCTTTTCATCTTTCGACTTTACGACCTCTCGGTCGTCGTGAGTTACGGATGCTGAACGTATCGTCGATAAACACGTGAGATCGGGCAAAGAGAGAGAGAGAGAGAAAGAGAAATATAAATATTTTATGTACTGAATTAAGAGGAGACTATGTTGAAAAATAAATTTCATTTTGTTAAAAAAATTACCATTTTCTCGGTCAGGCCGGAAACTTTTCAATTGACTCTCGTATTTACTTGATCCGAGTAAAATACTTGTTGAACGGAACATTGGAATAATTATTTACATAATCGTTTTTCCCTTCCAGCGAACTGAAAGATGTCTTCGTTCAGGTATTTTGCATGCACGCTTACGTCTCTAACCATCTTTCATTCCGTAGGCACCAGCGGAAACCAGCCCGCCGCCGGCGCGCGCTACCTCGGCGAACCCCCTGAACAAGCTTCGCAACCGCAACCGACTGCAGGTGCATCCGAAGGCGACGACGAAGACGCCGGCGTTACCGCCGGCGATTCGAAGATCGCCGCTGTTGCCGCGACGCAAGGTGACCGAGGCGCCGGTAGCGCAGTCGAGCCAAGAGGACGTCGCCTCTGAGGAAGAGGCCACTTCCGACGAGGCGGAGCCGACCGAAGCGGTCTCCGCCGAGACTAGCACGGCGGCCAGCACGAAGCACGAAGAGACGCGTGGCCTGAGCGGTCTCCTGGCTCCTCGACGCAGGATACCGGTGCGACGTCCGGGTCAGATAGTCGCACGGGAATGAAGAACAACGCACAATCGCGTTCTGGACGAGCCCAGATGCCTAGACGAGTCTAGAGTCCGAGGGTCCGGGCGATTCCAGCGGCAGCCGAGATGCGAGGGTGAACGGAGAAAGGAATTAGCTTCCATAGTTTAAAACCAACCGTCCGCATAATATATCCGAGATTTACTTACTAGACTTAGTTTTTAGCCGTGGGAGCTAATTCTCCATGACTGTAGTCGTACACGAAGAGAAAGAAACGAACTAACTCTCAAACTGAAAACTAAGTTCGGCAATTGAATTTCAGTTGCATTTTACGGACAGTTTTTAACTGTGGGAGGTCATCCTTTCTCCCCGTTTAGGGGAGAATCCTATCCTATTGCTGCTTAGAGACGCAACAGACACCGGATATCATCTCGCAGAGAGAAACAGGCCCCTGCCGCGCGTTCTCTCTTATAATATTCTTTTCCCATGTCTTTCCTCAGTGACCCCAGATTAGCATTTTGCGCAATATAACGAAAAGGCGGATGTACATAATGTTGTTTGCAAGGATAGCTCATTCCGAAAGATTACGTTTGCAATGGTACTTTGATCGCATTTGAAACGGCGTGATTGAGCCACACGATGATATCACGACGGATTAGCATTTAGGATGATATATTATATGTGGTAATAGCAAACTGAGACGAAAGGATATTTCCGAAAGATTCTCAGGATATCTCGCGTCTCGCACGAAGCGTCCTCGAAATATTTCTGAAATATTCTCAGAATACTTTAACGAAACCTCTAGCGCCCATTTAACTGTCGACGACATCGGGCTTATAATCATCACTGGGCTTTACGCATAAGCAAGAGTAACGGACGAACACGATATATCTAAATCAGTGTTTTTCAATCAATATTTCGATGTTCCGTAAAATATGTCGGCAGGAGGAATAGATTTTTCTCTAATTTTGTAGTTACACATGTCAATGGAAATTTCTGCATGTACTCTGTTTTAATTATAAATGCAGGTTAATGACCAATTTTAATTAATGACCGATAGAAACGCATATAATATATACATAAATAAATACGAATTTACACATGTTCTGTTGATTTCACAACACGTCAAACTGCTTCGTCGTTTGGTTTACCGTTGATCGAGGAAGAATGTTGAAAGGCACCGATACCAATTATTTTCCGATTAGACAGAGTGACGGTCATTTATTTCTTTCCTTTGACGTTTACTTATGTAGATTAAAACTAAATTAGAATGTAACGTTTACTTAAATTAAAATATCATTCACGAAAAGTGGTAGTTTAGGTCACCTATATACGGATTACGCGTAAATATTCGACGTTGATACGATCGCCTTATCCTGTCAACTCGGCCATTGCGTTCGATACGTTCGATCCGCAATTACAACATCAAGCTACATAAATGCTTCTCAACGTCACAATTAGGGTTACTTATACGATTTTCAATTCATCTTACACACTGCGTCCGCGCACACCTATGCAAGTAAGGCTGGAAATTGTAGCAAACCTTAGGGGATAAATTTTAAGGCATGTGTGACGCCTGGTGTACCGCTTGCAAATATGACAATTGCGATGACAATTCGATAATCCGCAATATAGATGCGCGTGTCCGATCCAGGTGTCTCGGTATACTGCGATTATTGTAACTATATCGTCTATTTAATTCGGGGAGTTTTATTTAATAATTAGCGCTTGCGACGTTCTATCGAAATATTATCCTTAACGTGATCTATGCATATCTGTGTATCCACATACGTAATGTTATCTGTATTTTCCTCCCGACACCGGACTATTCTTAGGACTACTATTGCGTGCGCGATGCGTATGAATACTTTTGTAATTACAATATTCCAAGATACACTGTAAATATTGCAATTAAATGTATGTAAAACTAAATCGCGTTGCATTTTCCTGAAAAATTTCCGAAGAAAAAAGTACGACGAAATTTATTTACAACTCGCTCAGATTTCTTTTGAAATCGCATGTTTGATAAAAACAAAGGAAAGAGAGAAAAGAACTATAAGTTTAAACGGTAGAAAGAAAATTCAATTTTCATACTTATAAAATCGATATTTTCCACTATTCAAAAATAAAAAAATCGTTCTTAAATCTTAGCTAAATAGATTGGAAATATTCGAGACAACGTATATCATTTATATATATAGGGAATCCCGGTATTTGTGCTGTGTGAGATATCATGACATTTGTCCATCTGAAATCGCATAGTATTAAAAATAAAAATACACATACACGATGCCAAATTTAATTTAGGAACTACAAATTTTTTAGATAACCAAACAAAAAATTCCTTAAAAAATATTAAATAAATAATAATAGTTTTCTGCATTATCAACCGTTGTCAGTAATGTAGAAAATCAGCTGTCTTGTGAAATCGTGGGAAGAACGTAAATTTATAAATATATATATTTTTTATCATAAGACAACAAAACATACGTATTTGTAAAATGTCGAGATAATTATAAATTGACATATTAAAAGAAATTAATTAATTCGAATTAAATTAAAATTAATCAAAACTAAGAAATTTCTTTTAAACTCGTCTTCTTATACATCTCTTTCTTTCTCCAAGATCCTAACATACGTCTATGCTTTTTTTTAAACGTAAAAAATACGACTAAACGAACAAATTTAAATTACATAAACCGAGCGTCCCTTTATGCGATCGCTTCTTCCTATTAATAGAAAAATCGTTCAAGAAAAACTAACTCTCGGCCAATCACAATCGAGAACTATCAAGAACTTAAGACTATTGTTACACTGAAATTCTCGACCGTGATTGGCAGGTTCTCTTATGCTCAAGTCTTATTACTAATAATATAATCTTTCTGTGCGCCATGAACTTTACCCTCTCTCGCTAATGACGACTGCTGTCCTCTTGCGGGAGCGCGCAGAAGGAACTCGTTGGCAAAGATGGTGAAACGTGGGGAGCCAGTCGTGTGCTTTTAACGTCCCGATGTCTAAATTTTCAGTGAGCAACAGCTCGTACATCGGTGAACATGTTAACGGGTAATTGTTCCTCGTGATTGACAAATAGGAATAACAAGCGCTCGTCGATTTATCGTGGCGGATCACACGGAGGTGTCCCGTGAAATGAGAAGGTAAGAAAACAAGGCGGGACGCGCTTTGTTTATGGAGATCAGCTGTGCTCCAAAACACTCGGGCTTACCCTTCCTGTTCCGTCGCGATCAGCGGCCGACTCTGCTATTTTCGTCTGGTAAAGGTCAGCCGAATACAGGGACAAAGCGACGACGAGCGTTGCAACCTACGATGGCGCGTCGCGTCACGCGCTGTCGTTCATTCAGAGAATCCGATGGTACATCGTGTCCTTCGAAAAAAAAAGGAAGCAGAATGAAGATTCGTATCATGCTCTAACCGACAATTTCGATGAACTCGCAACCTAGGTCAACGTTTTCCCGCGCTCTGGACAAAATTCAATAAACACGTGTTTCTCGTCCGACGAGGATTCTTCTTGTCGCATTTCGCGTTTGTCAATTGTGTTACTTTCGTATGTGTGCGTGTGCGCGCGTATGTGTGCGTGTGTGTGCACGAAGATTGGTAAATTTTGTAATGCGCCATGGACTTGAACTTGTGTACTGCGAGTGCTTTAAATTGTTACGTTTCTAGCGAACTGTAGGAGCATGCAACACGTTTACTGCTGAGTATCACGAGAAAGAGATGGAAATACAGGAGAAGTGCACTGCTTATTAATATATGTCACTGCAAGAAAATTGTGCTCAAGGATAAATGTGCAATTCGATGAGCGATCGATTGGGCAATCGGCAAAGTTAATCCCATGATCAAGTCCGGAGGAATATAAAGGAAAAATTTCCCCCAATGAACAATAGTGTACATTCTGGACATGTTTCAAGAAACGGCAGGAATCGTGGTGTTTTTGGTTTATCGTGACTCGACAATGGAAACCTGTGTTGTTTCAAAAGATATGAGTCATTCTTCATATAGTATCAGTTCATTGTTGTTATCTGTGTGTCGTGATAAAACTTGCCCCTCGCAAACCATCTAGGAATCTCTATTGAAGCATTCAGTAGTCTTTTGTGAAAATATAAGAGACTTTCTCCGATTAATTCCAGTATAATTATTTATTAAGATTTTCAATGCGCGATCAGAAACCGCCAACTTATAGCATATCTTGATTTAGCGACCGCATTCTAGATGCTTGCAGAGCAACTATCAACCGATAGCTGAAAAAAGTTAATGACATGAAAGGATGAAACGAGATACTGTTATTACCTGTGTGGAGCCAAATCGACGAGCGCAAACGGTAGGTTCTGATCAAGCATGACATGTCACCACTATTGTGATCCGTTTCTAGTGACATTTCTTTGTCAGAGTACATTACAATATACTCAGGATATGAATATTTTTATTACACATTACTTCGAACTATGTATATGTGAGATCACAGACAAAATATGGTGAAAATATGGTGAAAAACTACATGTTTATATCCAGACAAAATATGGTGAAAAACTACATGTTTATACCCAGATTATGCATGAAAAACAATGATACACTTCATCACTCCACATACGTTTTCTTGGTTCTGTTTACATTATGTTATCAGTATACATTATGCTTGATCCCATTGAATCTGAATTCTATTGAACCTATATTCAAATACTATCATCTACATGTATATTTATATTTTATTTGATATACTTGTGTGTGTGTGTGTGATTGTCTGATATATTTGGTACACAGCACGTTTGTTTTTAAAGATGCAATAATTCATCACACTCATCAGTGATATAGAATTGAACGCGACTCAATCTAATTTGCATTTACAGATGACAACGGTACTGGACTGTAGTTACCAACGTATGGATCCTTATGGGAGACACGAGGGGGACGCCGATGATGAGGACGAACGTGAGGAGACACCTCAGGACATGATAATCCACATGGTGGAGGGAAATAAAGCACGATGGAATCACATTGAAGATCTGGATTCATTCTTCACGCGAATGTACCATTATCATCAGAAGCACGGCTTCGCCTGCATGATGCTCCAGGAAATTTCCGAATTAACACGATTCATATTTGTAGTCGCATTCTCGACTTTTCTCGTCCACTGCGTGGATTACTCCGTATTGTTCAAGTACGTCGCCTCATCGTTGTTCATCGTTTCACTGCCTTGCGCCGCGAAGGATTCCTTTGAAAACGATCTTCTAACTGCTTTTATATGCATTTTCAGAGATAGAATTACTAATAGCACCTCGTCGAAAACCACGATAGCGGACGCCATACTGTCCTCGAGCGAATGCACGGCGTCGATGCATCTAGGCACTTGGATTTGCATTCTGGTCGCGGCGATGTTCTGGATCCTGCGTTTCTTCATATTCCTCTACCACTTAACGCAGTTTTGGGACATGAAGCAGTTCTTCAACACAGAGCTCAAAATCGATGATAGAGATCTGGACAATCTAACCTGGCACGAAGTGCAGAAGAGAGTGATTGAGGTACAAAAGGTTCAGGAGATGTGTATCCACAAGAAGGATCTTACAGAATTAGATATATACCACAGGATATTAAGATTTAAGAATTACATGGTAGCTATGATCAACAAATCCATCTTACCTGTACGGTTGAAAGTCCCCATTATAGGAGATATTATTTTTATGACACGAGGATTGAAGTACAATATGGAATTATTGTTGTTTTGTAAGTATCCTCGCATGCCTCTCAGCGATGTTAAATAAGATTCCGCCCCCACCGCGTGTGTACATTAATCGTTCGCATCGCAGGGGGCCCATGGTCACCGTTCGAAAACAATTGGCACCTGAAGGAAGATTACAAGAAGCTAAACAAGAGGCAGGAACTCGCGCGGCTACTGTCCAAGCACATCCTATGGGTCGGTGTCACGAATTTCCTCTTGAGCCCCCTCATTCTCTTATGGCAGATTCTTTATTCATTCTTTAATTATGGCGAGGTGAGTAATCGCAGTGCGAATAGACGGTGTGCATACGCACTGACGAACGAAAGTCCTCTCGACAGCTCATCAAAAGGGAACCGGGTACTTTGGGCACTAGGACGTGGTCCTTGTACGGTCGTCTGTATCTGCGTCACTTCAACGAGCTCGATCACGAGTTGAACGCCCGTCTGAATCGCGCATACCGTCCCGCCTCCAAGTACATGAGCAGCTTCACGTCGCCGATAATGACGGTGTTCGCGAAGAACGTTGTGTTCATCGCCGGTAGCGTGCTGATGGTACTGGTGTCCCTAACGTTATACAACGACGTTGTTCTGACGGTGGAGCACATTATCACGACCATAACTATCTTGGGCGGATTGGTGGCATGCGCGAGAACGTTCATACCGGACGAGAACCTGGTCTGGTGTCCGGAGACGCTGTTAACCGCCGTCCTCGCGCACACACATTACAGGCCGGATAGTTGGAGAGGCTACGCTCACACGCAGAGCACCAGGTCGCAAATGGCGCAATTGTTTCAGTACCGTGCGGTGCACCTGCTGGAGGAACTGCTGTCCCCGCTGTTGACGCCGTACATTCTGTGCTTCCATATGAGACACCGGGCGTTGGAGATCGTAGACTTCTATCGTAACTTCACTATCGAGGTCGCCGGGGTCGGCGATGTCTGCAGCTTCGCCCAGATGGACGTGCGAAGGCACGGCAATCCCATGTGGCAGACCGTGGCGCACAGTCCTACGGTCTCGCCGCTGCCCACGGAGGACCGTAGCGCGGGCTACGACAATCGGTACTGCGTCGATCCCGAGAAACTTCACGTGCCGATGTCCAATCACTACACCCAGGCCGAGGACGGCAAGACCGAGCTCTCCCTCATACACTTCACGCTCACTAATCCGGAGTGGAAGCCGCCGAGTTACGCGGAGAACTTCGTCGCTGCTCTGAAGGAGAGGGCCAAGAAGGAAGTGAACGCGGTGCCTGACAACAATCCTCTGATAGCCAGCTTGAATAGCTTGTCCGGTCTGGGACCTGGTGTAAGTGTTCCGCTTATTTCCGCAGTAAGTCCGAGGTATCCGTTCGTTTCTCAGAAAACGCAATCCGGGGTATAATTGAGCGATTCCGAGCGGAAACCCATTAGCTGGGCTCAGCGAAATTCGTGAATCCGATTGGCGTAAGATTAACACCAGCGTTCTCTTGCAGTACAACAACATTGTGTCGAGTATCATGCGCAGTACGACGATAAATCAAGCGAGCGTACCGAGTATGAGCAATATCTTCGCCAATCAGCCGGGTACGTCCGGCGGATCGGTGGGCGTCGATCAGTCGCTGAGTACCAGATCTGATATTCTCTCGTGTGTGGTGCATCACGGCTTGAGGAGGGCGGAAGGACCGCTGCACAACGAGAGGGGATTCCTGTACGGCTTGCAACAGGTAATATCGAATCAATCTCTGGGTGCTTCGGTGTTCGAGCCCGGCCATGAAGTGTCCACGGATCTGTCCGTGCCGACGGAATTAACCGCCGCCGACATGTCATTGTCTACATTGTACCTGCACGAGCTTCATCACAGACAAGTAAGTAAATCCGCGATCTTCGCGCTCTTCGCGGGCTGACGACGGGTGGGCGACTAGTGAGCGATTTCGGGAAGAATGCTCGGATATGTCAAGGTAGAATCGTTCGGCTTCCAGGTAAGAAGACGCGGTTACCAGGAAATTGCAACGAGAAACATATGGCCACGCAGCCCGGCGCAGGAATTAGCGACGCTTCCCGAGGTCCGACAGGAGAGGATACCGTTGTTGTCGCATCAAGATTCTTCTCTTAGAAGGAACCAAGAGTCCTAACGTCGTCACGGCTGAAAGTTCGTTTAGATAGAATCCAAAATGGTTCGCGTAGTGATCATCATTTCGGAATAAAACATTTTCATCTTTTATCAACGACAAATCCATGGTTTATTTTAATAACAACTAAATAGTCGCCCGAGCGTAAAGTCGTCCCAGTGTTCTCGGCATTATAGATGTTACTACGTCGAAATATTTAATATTACACACAAACACACACACACACAGAGAGAGAGAGAGAAAGAGAGAGAGAGAGAGAGAGAGAGAGAGAGAGAGAACGCATATTTCTGTTTTCTCTCGTTTTCTCCACGTGTGGCCAACGATCTAATAACGCCTATTTCTAACATCAAAGGCCTACCTGAAAGCTTACATTTTGTACGTAAAGTATCCACACTTAACGTTACTTGCATTTTATGTTTCAATATAATCGCGCAGGCTCTACACACGCGCGACTATTCGATTTACCTCAACGAGGTACGTTGTACAACAAATGCCGCATATGTCAAAAAAGAAGGGGAAGTAACGTCAAATTAATATATTCCAAATGTACATGAGTTGGATGTGTGCAAAACTAGTATAATTTTTTGATAAAGTCGAGAGGAGGCAGACACAAAAAGATATTTTTACGTTCTCAACAGAGACATCGAGTTTAAAGAGTATTTGTACATTCTACCTTTTTCAGAATAAAAACTTATATGAAGGAGAAAAATGTTACTACTGCGCATTTCTTCATAATATATTAAATTATTAATATATAACGCATATATATATATATATATATATATATACACATATATATATATTAAATTCAAATAATTTAATATATTATGAAAAAAAATATATATAATATATATTATGTAACATATATTAATATTCGTGGACGAGATGATGTGTACAAATACTTTTTCTCTTACCGATTATACATTTTAATCACCTTCCAATGCCACGATTCTCTAGTCATACGAAATTACTATCGCGCCGTAGTGTACTTGTCTCTTTAGATAATGTGGTTCTATTTATTTTTAACGTTTTACTTCTACTTTTAGCTACTTTATATATACGACGGCGGCTGAACTTTGATGGCTAGGGTAATCCGTAGGATTGTACATAAGATCGCGATATTTTCATTAATACCGCGATGAAAAATTAACGTTTGAGGGACGAGGAGCAGCATCCTTGTCCTTCAGCGTACCGCAGGTTGTCAAGTACGAAGTAGACCTAAGACAAATTTAGATTAATCTCCACTCATTCTTCAGTTTACGTACGAATTTTTAGTAACTTAACACGAAATCGATGATTTTACGATGAATTAACGTGTTACGCAATTAATATTAAAGAAGAAACAATGCGTTTTGCTAAATCTTATATCAATGTGTGATTCTCGTGACGCGGGAAATTAGTGCTGTAAGGGGCATCTGTAATTATCATTATGATGCAAATAAATACATTTCATAATAAAGCGATCTCTCTATTTAGATCAAACTCACTCGCGCAGTCCGTCGATTGTATCTCGACAAAATCGTCGGGCTTCAAGCAATATCAATAGAAACTTCACCGAATCGGTTTTTTCTTTTCTTTCTTTTTGTCAAATGTATATTTATGTTCGTTTTATTTGTAGTACTTAGAGAAAGGATCCAGGAGTATCGACACTTGATGTGATGCTTTCGAACGTATCCACAATTATTATCCATGTGGCGAGTTTTTGTTTTATAACAATCGAGGGTAGCAGAAATGCGAGAAAATACACTATCGGCAAATGTACGGGAAACATGAACGCTTACCGAGAAATAGAGATTGTATCGTCATCTGCCAAGTTGGTGGATGCTTCTAAATACAACTTACGATGTAATCGCAACATCAGCGAAAAAATGACGAAGAAGGACTTCATCTACGACATTCGTACACCTGTGCAGACTATGAGAAAGGTAATTTTTGACACGGATTCATGAGAGGCTCATTCTCCAACAGAAAAATTCCAAATCGTTTAAATATTAATACTCTCGTATCGAATAATATCGAAAGTTCCCGAATATTTTCGCGCCAATTCGCGGACCCTTAATTGCTATACTTCGACGCGTCAGAATGAAATGAAATAAAATGAAATGAATAAAAAATAAGCCACTTGTAGTTCGAGGTGCAAAGACGACCGATCATATTGCCGATACAATTGCGGCGAAAACAGAACATTGATTCTAAAATGCCGCAATACACCGTTATTCCCGAAAAAACGGAGCATGATGGTGATGGCGACGCGACTGTCGTAAGTAGAGAAATTATTTATAAGACAAATTTCCGGAAAACAACTGGAATTATATTGTATAGTTGTAAAGATATATAAGTGCCGTAAAAAAAAAAAAAAATATATAAATATATATAATTATTATATTATTTTCTATTATATATTATTATTTATTATTTTGAATACTTTTACACATATAGATTGCTGAGCAGCGCATTTTAGGGTACAAATGCAATTATTGCCAGGAGTCAATTGCCACTCTATTGTCTCTGTCAACTCATGTTAAATTCCACTGTCTGAAACATTGTAAAATATGTTATTGGATTCTATGTAAAAATGAAACAATGGAACAACATATAGCCAATCACCATCGCATGAGATAAGAAATTACAACTTATAATTCTTAATTGAGATTTAAGAATGTTGTTTCTATATTTCAAAATTATCTCTATGTTTAAATTTATTATATTTACTTTTAAGTTCAGAATTAAATCCACGCAAAAAAAAATAAAATAATAAAAGCTCTACTATTCTTTATCGTGAACTAAAGTTCATGAATGAGAGTGTAGACGAATGGAAATAATAAAACATTATTCCTCGCCCAAGCAAATTTTATTTATTCAAATTTATAAATTTGCGAAATAGTTATAAAAATATTTGAAGTTAAAACTATAAGGCTTACATAATTAATTATAAATATTCTTATTTTATGATTTTTATCATCACAATTACTTTTTTAGGATTTTAGGATTGTTATCATCACAAAACATTTTAATAATATATTGACTTCGTTAGAAAGGTATGCGAATGACTATATCGACAATTACCAACTGGAGGCGCGTGCCTTTGGGCAGGCAAGTCGTCGTAACGAGTCGTATGTTGATTCAACACCCTGTACATGATTTCTCCGAGCAGGATTGTCAGAAACCAAATTACCAAAACAATTTACGTTTAAAATATTTTTGTCTATGCACTGACATAGCCAATTGTAATTTCTTTATTTAAATTTGTACTTCTAAACAGAAATGTACGCGCGTTACCGATCGAAGAGAGATAGCTAAGTTATTTTAAATGGCAATTTCAAGTATCGGTAGAAAATTATTATTATTCTCCGCACCAAACACACATATTTATTTTAACTACAAAAATTGAGCAACCATTTTTCTAATAAGCATTACTACAGTGTCAGTAATCTAGTGTGATAGTGTTACGTACATGTTGCTACTGCTACTTTTTGTGATTAAAGTTAAAGAAGAAAAGGACATATTTGGCGCTAAAAATAACTATAATTTTTAAATCAGCGTACCTCACCCCCCTGTATATTCATCGGCCATTCATTATTTCTTTCCAACTGGTTGACTTAAACATTTCGTACAGATATCGCGTTATAGGGAGGGATATATCGGTTAGTTTACATATGTGCTACATGCAACGTGTGTACTCCTTTATTTTATTTTACCGCTGCAGTTGAGATTTACTTATCTTATAACGGTTGCGCAAGAGACCATTATCGCGCAGGTGGAATCTTTCGTCGAGGCGGAAACAATAAAAGGAACGAACCGAGGCACGTTTTTCGGCCAACGTTGCTCTCCCGCGAGACGTATATATCACTCGGGCCTCTAGCGGCTATAAACGCTGCTGTTCTGAAGTCGTATAAAAGGGTCGCGATTGTCATGGCCCCGGGTGAATAAACATAAGGGAAATTTCCGACGTGCGCGCGCGCACACACGGCGGTAGAAAAGAAGATTCGGAGGGAAATAATTTTTATTCACAGATTCTTTTTATATCCAGGATATAAATCAGGCTATACACGCGTATTAGAAATCTCACGAACTTGTTACTCGTTACCCGTAAATTTAACATGTCTTCACGGAGGATACGAATAATTCTCGCTTTGAATCGACGAATTGTATAATATTATGAATATCTGTAACGTTCGAACGATTAATGTTTCCGAGTAGTGGTGCTTTCAAGCACATGTGAAGTATGGGAAACGCACTCGAGGCGAAGAGGAACGTGTGAAATTTAACGTTGTCGATAACATCTATCTAAGAAAAGCAACGTCGTACAACGTCGCCTAATGACCGGGCGATTGCATTTATATTTATTAGCCTCGTGCGGTGCCTGAAATCAGGCAATCACATTTGTGTCGTTCAGGGAGACAGAGAGAAACAGAAAGAGAGGTCGTTTCTTTCTTCAGCCGTGGTTATCCCCCGTCCCCATCTCTCTTGATATTTAATAGTTCCGGTGCTACGACCCTCAGGATGGCGGTCACATGTTCAGAGCAATTACTGCAGGTGATCCTTTGTTCATGTAGCGAAAGATCCTTGGCCAGCAGCTTCATATTCTGCAGGACGGACAGAGCTTTAAATTAATTGCGATATCAACGTTGAAAGCGCAGTACTTTATTAAGTGCTTCTCTCGCGAAAGAACCTGGACGAGTAGTTATAACGTTTCTCTCCCTCTCTTCTCCCGGAAACGAATGAACGTTCACTTCATTATCCGGTAAATTTCGGTAATAACGGGTCGGATATAACGTCGGTAAAATTCGAATTTTCCCGATACACGATACGATACGGTCGAAAAGTTAATATCACATCTTCCTTAACGATTGCGTAACACGTGTCCCTTTAAGCCTCCCGCTGGGGAAATTCGGCTCGTACATAGCGACTTGTCCAGGCTCGTCGTATTTCGCGGTTACAAGAATTCAGAGGACGATGATAATAGTTTGTTAGAGCGGCGTTTTCCCCAGAACGGTGCTATTTGTCGAATAAACTTCACATCGCATACTGTATCGAACAGCCGCCACCCCTTTCACGTGTGACCCGGTATACATCCGCGCGTCTACGAGCAACTTTGTAGACAGACAGAAGTAATTAGCACCCTCCACCGCGGAATTTTTCCAATGCGTCGCCACTAGACTGATTTAATTATCGGAGCGTTTAATGTGTGTGCCGAGTTCGCGAACTATATATATATTTCAGAATCGTGTGATCGAACAGCATAATTCTCATTGACACGTTTAGTGCCACATGTATCATTTTTAGCGCCCGCCGAACTCGATCTCGAACCGCGCCAACCGATATTTTCGTCATCGAGAGGCAAAGTACTGTAAAATAATTTTCACCCACTTGTGCTCTGTTATCATATTTGAAGTGTTTTTAAATCCGTTGGCCGATTTCGGTATATATGACGTTGTCTTATGAATGTTCAATTGTTATATAAAATTTTAGATTATATAAAATGTTATATAAAACGTTATATAAAATGTTAGAATATAAAATGTTTAGGCAATAATGAAACATTGTACTATTTAATTATAAACTTAAAATGTTAAAAAAAAAAGTGTTATATTTTATTTGTTTCGCAATAAGCTATAGTTTTTGTTTTCTGTTTTATCCTGCAATATATTGTTTGTTATCCTTTAACATTTTAGTTTTAAAATAAACTTATTTGTTTTGTCCTACTACTTGTTCACTCGTGCTCTTAATTCGTAGCTGTACTACGCTGAAAACGGCCGGCTCAATATTAAATCGTTTTGTTCCGATGAAGGAATGCACGTCATCAATCTCCATCATCGTTTTCGCGCGCTCGTTTGCTCGCGACCTTTTCCCCACGAGCCTATCTAAAGGAGCGCCTTACGTCGACATTGGCGTCTTTCATGTCGACCACGAACAAAAACTCACTGCCTACCTTAGCGACCGTAACGTCGAGCCTCTTCAGGTTCTTACAATCAAGTATCACGTTGCATTCACTCTCTCCGGAAAGCTTCATTATGTTAGCACGCAGACGCTCCGCCGCTGGAAATGTCACTGCCTCTTCAGGTGTCACGATTATTACGGTTTCTCCCGAGATCTGCGCTCGGGACGAAGAAAGAAAAATGTAATTCGCGTATATTTCCGATCGATCCATGTCTCAGTTACTATACCTGTTCGATTTGCGTCTGGATGGAAGGCCGTGCTGAGAAATACAGCAACGCCATGAGATTGACGACGATGCCGATCAAGATGCCTATCTCCAAACCGAGAAAAACGCTCGGGACCAATGTCAGCACCATCACGAAGAAATCGACCTCTATAAAAGTATGCAGATATGTTCGTGTTATTAGTCTTCCGAAATTGAGGCGGTGGTCGAGAGAAGGCCGGACGAATCTGAATTTTGTCTGACGGAATATCGTAACATTTCGCAGCAACGATACGATTTTCGCTACGGAATCCCCGATTTCAATTAACTCTTCAAGCGCGTATCCCGCGAGATAATTATTTCAAACGTGCGTTATCTAAAAAGTATCACGATTCATACGTATCTCGAGTAGCCCCACGATTAATATCGCGGTTTACGGAAGGTAATTTGGGTGTATTTTGTCAAACGTAAATCGTACGATAAATAATGTAGGAGGCATTTAATAATTTCATTTGCTATATTAAATTCGGACGAGCGTCGCACGCCGGGGACTTGTTATCGTCTCGTCATTCTTGCTTATTCCCCGCGGCGCTGTCGTTACTCATTTTTGATTAATTTCGAGGCGGATCCATATTAATACGGCGGCTCCGTCCGAGCGACGTTCATTCCATACATTTATTGGTATTTGTCTCCAAAAGCTTAACGGATTTATCTCCGTGAGCTTATCGAACGACGAAAAGCATTTCGCTTTCAATCACCGACACGGCCGCGCTAAGGTATACGTCTCTCAAGTAGATCAAGCTTCACAGATTGATGGATGCGACACGAATCAAACGACGATTAAAATCCGGTGTTATTCATGAATCATAGCAACGCTACATCATTATGTTACACGCGGGTCACGCAAAATTATCCCGCTAATTTTGTCGCGTATAACTTCTACAAGGAGAACTTACTTCTGGCGCGCCAGAGCATGACGTACGTCGGAAAATCCAACATGTAGTACATCGCGACTAGGATGAGGCCAGCCAGAGTTGCCTTCGGTATGAAGTAGAAGGTGGAAGTCAAGAGGCTGACCGCGAGCAGCACCAGAACGCCTGAAAAGGCATCGTAATTAAGGTTCGCCGAAAGGTTCGACGAAACGCGCTGTTTTCACGCGCTTCGCTGACAAATGAAGTTACTCCCGCGCCGCCGGAAGAATTCCCGCGTATTCCCGAGCTTCTCTCTATTTCGACGTCGCTGCAACCGCATGTAAACGTATTTAACCGTGCAGTGGTCGCGCCGATGACGTCATCTATGCGCGTTAAAATGCATTTTCCGAGAAATACTAATAAGCATCCATCCTGCGCTTCCATGTGTTCGTCAGTTAAGAACATATCTCGCGGAAAATTGACAACAACCCACGCCCAGGAACGCGAGATTGTTTTTTTCAGCAGGAAGAGCGCAAGGTACCACCGGAATATCGTGTCAAAGCTGCACAAATTGTACTTGTACAGGGAACATTATAATTATATATACAATACTTGCTTTGAAAATGACAGATTATCGATCGATTATCTTTTATTTGGTTATATATCGTAACTTAATGTTTGAACAGATCACTCCCGGAACGATATTGATCTTTTGCTAATTTGTTTTTTATCCTTAAATTATCCGTAAAAATTTAATTTTATCCGCAAAAAGACGAATAAAAATATTTTTAGTTTCGTTTTAAATGAGGTCTTTTATGATTGTCATTTTCATACGAGTGAAAATTATTATTTTTAGATTCCTTTTAGATTCGTACAACGTGTCCTATCGAACTATATATGAGGTTTCCGAAAAGAATTAGATAATAAAAATGCTCAACTAAATGATGTAAAGTCCTTCCGAAAATGAGATGTAAATTCTTTTCCTATTCAGGAATATCGTAAAAGAAGGAACGACGCACCCTTTGGAAGGAACTATTCACGAGAAAATTAAGTTATTTCGTACTTATCCAAAAGAGACCTTTCTCCTTCAGAGACACTTTTCGCGCATAAAGAATCATTTTTACCGAGATTCAGAGCTCTGGCCGAAAATTGTCACTTTCAAATCCCCGTGCGCCGTAGGCGTAATCAGATCGCAAGTTCTCCGTTAACGAATCGGATCGATTCGCGTTCAAATCGCGTCGGATTCAAAGGCGTTGAAATGTCCAATCATTGTCGCGTACCCGTAAATATCCCTCCTAACGGGGTTCTCACGCCTGACGCGTGATTGACGGCCGTACGTGTAAAAGACCCGGTCACCGGCATCGATCGGACGAACGACCCAAAAATATTGCAGACTCCTAGGGCGATCATCTCCTGCGTGGCGTCCAGAGCTTTGCCCTTCGCTGAAAAGAAAAAAGAGAAAAAACCCCGCATTCTATTACGGTCGAACGGATTACCGATCTTCAAAAGTAACGGAGCGTCGGGATACGAACGAATAGGAATAGCGAGCGAGAAAGGGCCGTGAAAGCGCTTTGCGTTTAAAAGCGCGAAGCGCATCCCGCGTTTCGTGCGAAGGGATCCTTTTCGTCCGATCCACAAAGCCTCGGCGCACTTCCGCAATAGCTCTCGAAAGCAATCTACCGCCGCGAATTCACTTACCGAAGGCTTTCGCGATGGCGATGTGCTCGATCGTCGACACGACCGGTATCGAGAACAGTCTCGTGCCCATCGCGCTAGCCATCTCCACAAAATTGTACGTGCGGTTCTCGAAGGTCGTGGAGAACGGCGGAGGCTTGAACACCGGCAGACCCTGACCCATCGATCCTGAAAACCCCGTCCGTCCGTTATTCGCGAGAACTTCCCGGTGCACCGACGGTGCGGAACGCACATTTCAATCGCGGCGGCCGATGTTGGGCATAAAATGATTTTTCACGCCGACGTGTGTATCGTCGGTATGGGAAACAACGTGCCGGGGGTCGTTTCGCGTTCTGAATGTAAAATGGTGATTATTCTATATCATGCGTCATGAGACTCGACGTGTGTGTGACCGATCGCGCCTCGAGAATTTAAGGGTCGATCGATTAATCCGCGGCAATATACAAAACGGTAAATTATGTTTCCGCAAAGTCGATGTCGGCTTGTGCTGCTGACGTGGTGAAGACGAATATTGTACGCGCGGAATTCGATGATTAATCGTTCGCAACGCAATTCATATCGCGAATTTATTCCGCGCCCGACGGTATGATGAATCTCTCAGGACACTCTCGAGTCTGGAAAAATCGAGGGGGACGGCAAATGAAGAAGAATCGATTCAAAATTCCCCCTCATCCCGTGGAAAGAATTGCCGAAATGTCTTCGCTCGGATTCGGCAAGCAGATCCGGATCTTCGATACTGAAAGAACGAGCTATCCACTTACCCGTTAATTTGAAAGGCTGCATTCCGTTGATATAAAAGACGTACGCCATGACGGTGCCTGCAATGACGACGAACGCATTGCGCGACAAAGCGACAATCCAGCCTGTTTTCTGAAGAACATTTCCTACGCGCCGCCCCGGTACATTCTGTCGGCAGAAAGAAAGGATACAAGCGAGATCCTATTATCATGGAGCTACCGCCTCTAACTTCTCGCGACTCCGCGCTGGACATCGGAGAATTGTTTTATCTTAGAACACCACACTTCCTGCGAGTCCCGATTTCACCGTTTCAGGTGTGGTACACATCCATGTGCTGTTCTAAGTTTAATAAACACGCGAAGAAATTGATTTCACGCCGATCGAAACGAACGTAATCGCTCTGTCGCTTACACAAAGCAAACAGTTGGGGCGGTCGTGACTCAAACCTGACGTCGGAACAGAGTTTTTCGCGCTTAATGACGATGACAGCCTTATACCTTAAGCAGAACTAACACAACGATCGTCCCAATGCCCAGCACAGTGTCTTGGTATCGGATCTGATGGAGATTCTTGAAGATCGCGATCAGAGAATCCAGGAAGCTCTCGCTTCTGCCGGGGATACCCAAGAGCGACTTAAATTGCGAAGACGCTATGTTGATCGCCGCGGCCGCGGTAAAGCCGGTGATCACCGGCAGCGATATGAAGTCCAATAGAAAACCTTCGAACGAGTAGACTTACGATTTAGGGTTGAATCAATTTGATTTGAATAAATCTGATACTTATGACGAACTTTTGACATAGTTGCGGATACGTGAATTTATGAAATACTTGAAACAATAACATTCATTCGAATGCAGAATATATTTTTCCGTGTGTACGCTCGATAGAACGAAATGTCTTTCGCTTAGACGATCCCTACAGTTTGACTTTCATAAAATCAAAGGTGTTTAATTGCTTTCGCTGTGCTCTCTCGCGAGCGTTCGGATTACCTAAATGGAAAATTCCTAGAAGCGCGATGATGCATCCCTTCAGGAAAGCGATTAGTACAGCCATGTCGGCGCCGTAATGCGCGACCAAATCTTGAATCATGCTGGCCATAATAGCCGTTGGTCCAATAGTAATGTTCTCACATGAACCGAAAACGATGTACACAAAGGATGCCATGAACGACGAGTACAGTCCGTACTGCAACATCGCACGACGGAAACATTGAGCATTGTCTGTCCGGAGAAAGCGAAGTCGCTTAATAAATTAGCGAAATAGCCTAAAGCAATATCCCGGTTTGTCCTTCAGCTTAAATTTACGTCTTACGTTCACTGTTATTCATATGCCAATTCGTATGCGAAAGCTCTTGCTCTCTCGTGACCCATACCTCAGGACTCAAGCCGGCGACGATACCATAAGCGATGCCTTGCGGCACAGCTGTGAGGCCGACCGTGACACCGGCCAACGCATCTTGCAGCAGCCACGCGGGCTTGTATCGCGGTAGCCAGCCGAGAACCGGTAACCTCTGCACCACGAAGTCCCGGCATTTATCTCTCTCGTACCACTTGACCACTGAAATCAGACTCGGCCTTATTTCACGGTCGAGCGAGTCAACGTGACTTCTCTCGAAAGGACGCGTCATGTTGAATTTCGTCGCGAGAAAGAGACCGGGCAGTATGGATGCCGAGGAACAAATGTCGTAGCGCGCTTGTTCCTCACATCAACCTCGAACTTGGTTAAGCGGGGACGAAGTAACGCGATTAATGAGGCTGAGAGCAAAGCCAAGGGCTGGGAATGGGAAGAGCGATTGAAGAAGTGGAGAAATCAACAAGCTAACGTAGATTCGAAATAATCCAATAAATATAAGGGAAATTTGCCGTGATGACATTCTAATTAAGGACATTAGATGTATTCCCGGTGTAAAGGACAAATGCACTTTTTTATCGTTTCTCTCAAGATTCCAGAGTGCAGATTTCGCAGAAGGCAATTTTTTTTCGAGGTCTCTTTGCGACACGTGTACTCGTCGTCCACCATTTAGTTCCTCAATCGCGAGCTTGATACGAGGGAGCAGCGAGAACAGCGCAGAGTCCCGAGGGACTCACCGGAGCGAGGTATTCTCTAAATCTACAAATGCGAAGCACAAGCGGACGTGATCCGCTCCCGAGGAGGAACAATGCAAGCGACACGATAGGCGAAAAAGACGAGTTGCGCTGCTACGTTTTTATTCGACACGCGGCCAGATTCGCTCGCTTACTCACTTTTATTATCGCTCTCGGTCCAGTGGAAAAGATCGCAAGCGTCGTCGTGACGATTCCGCGAATGATGAGCAAATACTCCTCGGGGAACAGGACGGACGATTAGCGTTAACAGTGATTAATTTCTCCAAGAATAATAGCTTCCCGCGGATGTAACGTCGACAGAACGTCTCGATTTACTTGTGGCGAGAATGGCCGCGCCGGGGGGATTTCCAAAATCACTAATCGCGAATTTCTCCGGCGAGATTTCGCTTTCTACAATGAAGAATTCGAGTTGGACAATGCCAAGGAGAGCAACTCTCACCGGTGAGAGAGAGAGAGAGAGAGAGACAAGTGAGGAAATTATCGGACGAGAAAAATAACAGATAAAATCCTTTCTGCGCGTAATTCAAACATGAAAATATTTCGATGACTCAGCGCAGACGGAATCGTAACTGAAAAAACAAGTTTTCGCTATAAACGATTGAACACGTCAGCTATACTTCGTAAAAATGACAGGAGACTGGGTATATTTTCACACTGAGGAAAAAAGACTTAAAAATTCACTTGTGAAATATAAGATTTATTTCACAGAAATAATCAATGTTTATTTAAATACGGCGAAATAAACTTTTATTCCTAGCAAATAAGGTAATTAATAAAAAAAAACTTAGGTATATTTCACAAAAATATATATCCCGTCGTCACAATCAAATTTTTCTAACCGATATATCGAAAAAAATGTCACAACATTTACTTCGCAAAATTTCTATTTCTATTTCTTAGTGCATATATTCTATGCTCGGTAATTGTTTCACAAGAACCTATCTCGAAGTGAACGACCCTGAGAGTTTTCCTTCTCTCTGCTCTACTTTTGGTGAGAGCTACGCACTCTAGATCTAGAAAAAGAATGATAAGATATAGACTAGACAAATCGTGGTTGAGGTTGCAGCAACGCCCGTTTCCTTCCGTTCTTTTTTATTTTCCTTTTAGTATGATCAATGTGTTCTACACAGACCATTCCGCACAAAACGTACTCTCTCAATGCGCACTCGACATTGAAGATCACGATGTTGTTTACAATTTACGGCTGACTCGCTCACTATTCTCGAAACGGATACCGACGATGACGGTACATCGCTGCGTGACTGAACCGCCGACTCAGCCTTATATAAACAGCTTGCATCGCGGTATCATCGTTTCATGTTATAAATAATCGCGGAACCGGCTTATCGGTGATAGAAGTCGAATTAATTTCTCAAGAGCGGCGATACGGACGCGCGGAAAATCACCTGTCGGTATCTTAAGGCCCGATGCGATCGCTCAATGCTGCACGATGCAGCGTGAGTGGCACGCACATCCGAGCCGGAATCCGTTCTATTCGTCACTCTCTTTCGGGTCTCGAGAATTCGTCTGACGTTAACAGATTAGAGGCCGTAGCTTTTTGCAACGCGTGTCACCGCAGAACGATCGTAGAAATTGCATAATCACCGGGAACAAAGAGGAATTGCTCATCTTACTTGTCGGCTTTCCGGCTCAGATGTCGTAAGAAATTGCGATTCCCGTTCCACTTTCAGACACGCACCGACACAGGCACATTGCTCGGTAAAACAAACTTTCGAGCGTGTGCTCTCACTCGCGACACTAACCCGGTCGATGCATGTTTGCGAGGGTCTGGCTGCGGTGTAACGGATGAAACCGGTATAAAACCGGCTTAAACGGCACGGTAGCAATGTTCGTCGACGTTGCCGCGTCGGCGAACTGAATGTAACAGTTGGTTGTGGAAACTTGAGAGATTGCCGGTTGCAACGGGGAAGAGTGAGACGACGGTTAGGCTTCTCCTTCCGCCTTGCCGTAACCGCGTCAGAGAGGGGCATCCGCTGTATATTAAGCGAAATTCGCGCCAGACAGTGCAGCACAGATTACCATATTTTGGTTATTCATTACGCAATACCTGCGGTCGGCGTGAAAGTGGACTTGATGCGTTTACCGGACGTCGTACGCTCTCCGGCGATAGTAATCTTGAATTTTACGCGGCGAACCCATGGACACGCTTACAAGTAGGGCAATGTGGAAACTTGTCCGCTGGTTTATCGTTTCATTTGTCATTTTATTTATTTATCTATCTCGAGATGAAGAAACAGACGGAATGTTAATTTCGTTTCCGAACAATTATGGATCCGTGGTTAACCGAGACGACATTTTAGTTCTACATTAAATCTTCAAAGGTCTTCTGTTGCGGCCCTTTGATGCTACAAATGGGGAGTTATTTCCGTCTTCTTCGGTTGAAGATTGAATGTAGAATTAAAAATTTCCCTCCGGGAGGTATAAAGTTCTTTTGTAGTATAATAAAATGATTAATCTATAAGCGATAACGTCGAGTAGTAAGCAATTGAAAATATTTTCGATCCCTCCGATGGCGAGATACGCCTCGGACGTGACTGATGGCACTCCTTGATATTTGCGATGAGATTTAATAAGCACATGCAGAGATGATCCTTGTACATATGTGTATTGTTTTTCTAATTTTTCGCGTATATTTATCTCTATTTTTTCGATTATAGGAGCTCTCGAAAAACACACTTAAACAAGTCCAAAGAAAACAGAGAAATGGCCGTATTGCAGGTACTGTCGAGTAGATACGATAAGCGTCATGATAAAGATAACACTGTGAATATTCACAGTAGACATTCATATTCTATTCGAACAGCTTACAACCGAGAAACGTGATTACGTCCGGCTTATCATAATTATGCCAGTTTTAGTGCATATGACTTTTCCTCCATATATTTCATAATAGGGTTAGTATTTTAGAGTTAAATTAGTCTTTCCTTTAAACATTGCGAAATTTCTCGACCAACCATCGCGATCTCTTACTGCGATCCTCCGTGTTTACCCGTGAACGAGAACACAAGAATTCGGCGACGGCATAGAAATCCAGCCGCGCCGGATAATTCCCATAAATCGCGCGCGATCCGATCGTTCCGCTCGCTCTCGCTTTTTCCCGCGCGGGAAACGCGATAAATCATCGCGACTTGTGCCACCTCGATCGCCGATTCGAGCCGTACTCCGTAGAAAACGCGCGCACGGCAGAACTCTCGATTTCTTTCCACCGCCTCTCCTCCCTTCTACTTCCCCTACGCGGCGACGCGACGTCGCCGGGGAACCAAGGGGGCGAGGGTGCAACGCCTGCGCGACGCCGGGGCGTGCGTTCGCGGGGGTGCCGACGATGAATGAGCCGGCGGCGCTCTTCAGTGCCGCGCGAGCGAAACTGCGAAGCTCTCTCTCACCGTCGCGACCCTGCAAACCGCGTGCGAACGCGGCGGCATCAGCACACCGTCGCGTCGAGGCGCGCGAGAGCCACCCCCTGCCGGAAACCCCACGCCTCCACGTTCATTCACTCGTTCAGTCGCCGCACCGAGACCTCGAATGACAACTCCGAATACGAAAATACGAAAATCAATCGTCGTTGCGATCGAGTCGTCGCAAGATCGTCCCTTGAGATCCGTTGAAATTGACAGGGTGCTTCGACGAGGGGGTGTAAAAGTCGCGCTTGTCGGTCGTCACTTGTCCCGTTGGAAGTCTCGACTCTCGTAAGCGCGTTCTCCGATCACCGAGTATCAACGAGACGGTATTTTCCCTGTCGGAGAAGTTCGAGCGACTCGACGTGCCCTGGAGACGCAAGTTGCGCCCGTCACCCGTCGAATCGCGCGGTCGTACCGCAATCTTGAATCGAGAAACGTCGGGCCTACTGAACACGCTCCACCGACGCGACAGACTGCCCGCGTAACATGAACTTTTTCACCATCATTCGAGATTATGGAACGTTTGATATGATGTACGCGTTAAATGACGCGCGAAGTTTTTGAAACCTCGATCCGATTTACCGTCCGTTTTATCCGGTCTAACGGCGTCATCATTTTCGGTCGACAGGTATCAGTTTTGGTTCGATGGTCGATTCATTGACGCAAACGCTCGTGCGTTTGCCGCCTGCCAATTATAAATTTACACCGTAATTATATTGTTACTATCTCTCTCTGTATGTGTGTGTGTGTAAATTAAATATACACGCCTATGTATCGCATACAATATATTTCGCTTTTTCAACGCCGCTCGTCGGCTTGACGCGATTTTCGCTGAATAAACAGCAACGTTCCGATGCTTATCCGACCGTTGACTTTTACCGACGCGTGATCACCCTCCCTTTCGGTATCGTTAGATTCATTTGCACGTCCAATTTATCCGCCCACGTATAATGCAGCGCGCCGGAGTCTCGCCGGAGCTGACGGGCAAATATATTTTTCGCCCGCGACGTTTCTACGCGGAGGAGGGGTCGTTGGTACGGATTGACCCGATCGTTTTCCTCCCCCCTGGGAGCGCGTAACGAACGTCTCGCTAAGATTACGGCGCTTCCGATCCCGTCGCTTACGGATCGCTGCCGAAACCGGATCGATCGGTCTTTCGCCGCACGGCGCACAACGGTTGACGTGGGAAATTTCGGACAGTTCAATGCGCCGCGACGGCTCGCCGCGAATACAGGAGACCTCGGTGTCGACCCACCGCCGGTGACTTCGGACGGAGAAAGAGCGAGAGAAGGTGAGAGGATCGAAGGGAAGATGTCCCAGCACCTGCCGATGATGGTGGTGTCGCAAACGTCCCGCCGAACGCCGCGTCGGATCCACGTTGGACGGTCCGCGCGAAACTCGTGAATTGTTCTCCTCAAGAGTGAAGAAAAACCGCAAGGTGAACCAGGCGCGAATTGCGCGGAAGAGAAAGAGAGAGAGAGAGAGAGACGCTCGATGGGACGGCGAGCAAGGAGGGAATAATTGCGCACGAAGGATGCGACGCGCGGAAACGTAATAGCGCACGGACGATGTAATTTTAAATCCCGCCGTTTATAATCGCTCCCCCGCGTTTCCTCCGCCGGGAGATCGCGCATCCGTCCTCCCCCCGGTGCGGGTTTTCAGGCCAGGTGAGAACGAAAGAGGCCGCGGCCGACGAATTAATACGCTGTGCGCGCAATTGATCGCTGTTGCCGCAATCGCCGTAACGGCCGGCGTTTAACGGCACGCCGCAATAACGAGACGAATCTTTAATTCGCGCGCGCACGACTGACGATGAAATCTCGCTGCTGCAACGTACGCCCGCGTTAATGAAATACGCGCCGGCTGCTCCTCGTGAATGAACTCGGCGGCGTGTGTAGATAACGCGATAACAGGACGCTCGAGGAGAAACGAGGTGATTTTAATCTTACGGAGCGGCATGTTGGCCACCCCATCGTCGCAGCCGCGTTACTCGTCGACGGAAGAAATTCATTAAGGCGTCTCGCCCCGGCACGAAGCATCGTCGTCGAGCGGCAACGAATTAGCGGGTGTCCCGGTGGCGCAAAACGCGCGAAACGAGGCGGCTGCTGTCGTCGTTTTCCCACCGGAATCCGCCGTGATCTCTCGAAATCGTCCTCGTCATGAGCATCCTGATGTACGTAGTCCGGGACGAGCAGCGGGAATCGTCGTGGGAAGCCGCGGGACAAAACGCCGTAATGGCACGTACGGAGGTTGATTTTGTCAGCCGGGACAACGCGAGGTGAGTAGATAATTCGTTCGATCGCGTCCACGATGCCGGTAGATCAGTTGTCGAGTCGATCTTCAGATTTTGGCCCGTTTCGGCGAAAATCCCGAGAAAGAATTAAGAGAATCGGACTAACACGAGACCGATAAGCCTTATTTCTTGTACAATACACGATCGCACAGGAAATAGGACGCTTTCGAATTTACGTTCAGATATTGGCTCACTTGCGTACACGGGGACTAATAATTTACGGGAAATTTTACGCCGTGGCAAATCGATATATATAGGATATTTCTTAAGTATCGTCCAATATTTTAAAAGGATGATTTTGAAGGTCATTCTATAAAGAAATGAACATAGTGAATGTCCTAATTAATAACAGCGTTCCAATTCGTGATAATTGCATCGGTTTTTCTTGAATAAAAGGTATAAATGATTAAATCCTAATAGTTAATAAAAAGTAACGATATATTCACGCAAGATCGCTAATCGTGTTACGTGCTGGAGGCCGGTATTGAATATTTTAATTAACGGACGTAGAGTCGATTCGCCTAATTAGGCCTGTGATTTTATTTCGTCGAATTACATGCCGTATTATTCGGTGCCGAATTTGGAATAAGTTACATCGGGGCGTGGATGTTTTCAGATAGAATTTATGGTGATCGTTACGGGACCGTAGGGATCATAATTTTCGTACAGAATGGGATTATCAGAGATCCCGAAATTTGTAACGCCATTCGCAGGTTCTGCGAGAGGTTAAGGGGCGTAATTCGAAGACTTCGGGGGATAGGAATGCCTAAGACAGTCACATATATTTCAGTTTAATCTCATGGTATCAAAATAATTATCGTTACATCTACCCCTCCGCGGCCATTTTAGGCTCCGCCGAAGCATTATATCGCGCATTACCGCCACTCGTCGCGATCGTAAATAAAAACAATTTCCCGGAATAAGAAGGTGAATGTCGATTTGATATGTCCGAAAGAACATCATACATTACCCGTCGTCAATCAATATATGTTACATCCGCCTATTTCTCGTGTCTCTCCTCATTGAAAGTTTAGATTAATTTCGAATTGCGCGCGACAATCTATCTGTAGAAATTAAAATGAATACTATACTATATATCCATCCCAAATTATTTAATATCTGATATTAAATACCTTTGTGTGACTAAAAGCCTTTCAAATAAGTCAAA